GGAACCATGACATATTCATAGGATTTCTTTTTAACAAAGAAAGAGGCCTTTCAAACTTAAAAAAATTTCAGAATAATTAGTGTTTCTCCAGCTTGCTCTACTTTTCATGTATTGTTATAGATGATTTTTAGTTCAGGACATCTGTGCATGCTTTCCTTGATTGTCCTTTCTAAATCACCAAAAATTGTTCCAGGGATTTCTTCTTCCCTAAAGCCAGCAGCACAAAATGTGCAGGAATTGATATATCCCTTCACTCTGTTAAAAGTYAGGACAGTGAAAGATTAGGATGTTTCCACAAAGTAGCAAAGTRTATTTTTGATATAAGCAGTAGCTGTTAAATCCTAGCACACCAGAATCTCCTAGCAGAATGATGACTCGGCAAAGGTTTAGGAAAGGAGGACTGTTGACACAGCAGATTAATGCATTTGTTTGCTTACTCCCAGTCTCTCYTCAAGTAAGACTGTATCTATTTAAGGTTTAATGAAATTAGATTATACTTTTATACTCCCAAGGTTATTCTCCCCTGTAATAATTTTATTCTAACAACAGTGTTGATAGGCGAGGGGGTGAAGAGAGAAGCTTCTCTTAACTATTGGCCATCTGTTTCAAAAAATGGGATTTTGGCTTTGAGTAACAAAGGCAGCAGAATATTCATTTATATTAAATCCAATCTGTGTGCCTACTTTTCTACTGAAGCTTTGTGTATTTTAAAAGACAATTTTTGCAGAATGTTGGAATGAATTATAACTACAAAATTTTTGTGGTGTATACATCTCACAGCATGGGTTGGGTCTAYCCTGCTTTACAGAGCTAAGTGCAAATTGCTTACTTACATCAGAGTTGAATGCACTTTCCTTCAGGCAGCAGAAAATGCAATGGCATCTATTATCATAGTGTTGAATAAAAAGGTAATTTAGCCCAACGACTTTGACATTATACTTGCATACTATAAACACAGGATAATTAAGGGTGGAAAGGAAATCAGAAGGTCTCAAGTCCAACCTTCTGCTCAAAAGACAGCCAGCCGTAACAGACTGTGGGGTTGTCTGGTCTCGAAAACCTCCATGGATGGAGACTGCACAACCTGTTGCTTTACTGTCCTAGAAGCTAGAAACCTTTTCTTCATATCCAGTCTGAAATTCTCTGCCTGTTGTCTCTTGTMTTCCCACCATGCACCAGTGTGAAGAGCATGTCACTGTTCTCCATGTAAACTCCCTGTAGGTATTAACAGGATGTTACCAGCATCCTGCTCCCCACAAAGCCTTTTCTCCTCAAGGATGAACAAGGCCAGCTCCTTCAGCTTCCCCTCCTAAGGAATGGTGCTCCAGCCTCCAATAGAAGATGGCCCTCCACTGACTTTGCTCCATGTTACCCATGTCCTTCTTGAAGTGGGGGAGGCCAGAACTGGGGAACAACCTCCTCCCTTGATCTCYTGGCTGTGCTCCTGACAATACAGCCCAAGGTGCAATTGGCTCTCYTTGCAGTGATGGCATCCCTTCAGCATGCCTAAGCCTTTTGGATGGCACATCCTGCAGTGTAACTACTGGTACCCTGGTTGGGTGTCGCCTGCACATGATAGAGTGTGYTCCTTGTCCCCTCCAGGTCATTGATTAAAAAATGTTGAATAGGACACTACTTGGTTCCTTTTTACTCCTATACATCCCAGTAAAACCACCCTCTGAGGCTGACATCCAAGCAGGTTTTATAGATCCCAGTGTCCACCCATGGAGACCATACATTATAATTTGGATGTATGAATATGGTGGAAGACAGTATCAAAAGTCTTGCTAAAACTGAGGTGCTACTCTGTCCTCATGCGCAAATCCAGAAGTTTTCCCACAGGAAGAAATCAGAATTTCAGATGTGATTAACCCTTGGGTAATCCTGATGAATGTTCCCAATCACATTTTTCTTCATAATTCCTCTCCAGAGAGGAGTGSTCCAAGGAGGTGTGCTCCTTGATTTTCCCAGGGACTGAATGCCCACCAGACTGTTGCTCCCCATGGGAATCATAGACCTGTTTAGCTTGGAAAAGTCCTGTAAGATCATCAAGTCCAAATGTTAACCCATCACTGCCAAGTCTAAACCCTAAACCACTAAACCCTGTCTCCTACCATCACATCTACGTGTCTTTCAAATGCCTGCAGGGATGGTGATTCCACTGCTTACCTGAACAGCCTGTTCCAATGCCTGAACACTCTTTTACTGTAGAATTTTTTCCCAGTATCCAATCCAAATTTCCTCTGGAAAAACTCAGGGCCACTTCCTCTTGTCCTACTACTTGTTAATTGTGAGAAGAGATTCACCCCTACATGGGTACACCCTCCTTTCAGACAGCTGTAAAGAGTGATAAGGTCCACCCTAAGGCCCCTTTTCTTCAGGCCAAATAACCCCAGGTCCTTAAGCTGCTTCTCATAGGATCAGACACTTCCTCAGCCWCATTGCCCTCCACTGGCCATTCTCCAGCACCTCAAGGTCCACCTTGTGGCGAAGAGCCTGAAACTGAACACAGGTTTCAAGGCACAGACACACCAATGGTGAGTACAGGAGAAAGATCAAGCCTTGGTCCTKCTGGCCACACTATTGCTGGAACAGGCCAGGATGCCATTGGCCTTCTTGGCCACCTGGGCTCACTCCTGGCTCATGTTCACCTGCTGTTGACCCCCCAGGGCCTTTCCTGCTCGGCAACTTTTATTACTTTGTTGTTTTTTTTTTTCCAAAGACAGAGCATCATGGTAAAAATTTAATTCAAAATTTATTTTACCACCACTTTTAATAATGCAAATAAATTAAATCAGGAAAGATATAATGATAACATTTCTATGACTGGTAGTAACTGYCAGCCCAGTGTTTCATCTCTCCCAAACATACACATGCTTTATGGTGTTACGAGCTCGAGGGAGATGACACTGTATGTGGGAGCAAAGCTGGACACAGGGGAAATTAAAAGTTTTAAAACTTGGTTTGTTTCCAAAAGTATTGTTTATGTTCAAAGTTAAGGCCACTGCCTTTTACTTTCTGTTGTTTACAGAAGTAGTGGTATTTTTTCTCAGTAATCTTTTACCATATTCAGTTTCACATGAAAACTCAATACTAACCGCTCCTCAGCCTCTACATAAGCAAAGGCAGGGCTCGGGAGAACTAAGATGCTGTACAATCAACAATATAATGAAAATAAAATTATGATCTKCACCCCAAAGGAGATCACCTTTCTCCTAAAATCTTAATATTTAAATAAATGACACTATGTAATTCGGTCTATCTTGGGATTTTTAAACCACACTTACGTATTGTACCTGTGGTATTTGTATGTAAACATGTGTGGCAATTCCAAATTCTACCAAAAGGGAGTATTACTATTTTTTGGAAAATACATCYTAGTTCTTACACTCAATTGGGGTAGAAGAAATGTTAACAAAACCTGCTGTGAATTCATGAGAATTCAGTGAAAAACATGTGAAATAGAATTGACTATGTCAAGAAAACTTCAAGAAGAGAATAGGGTTTTTATCATATGCATTCTCATACTTATARAACATTTGCTGTCCAGTTACAGGAAAGCAGGTACTGAAGTCAGACAAAAGATCCAGCTGAGGTGACAGTCCTGCTTCCATGAATAATCAAAACCAGAAGTACAGAGAAGAATGAAGGTGAAAGGCAAGCATATATCACAAAGAGATGGAAGCAATATGTTTTCTCAGCAGCACAAAAAGAACCCAGAATCATCCTGAACACAATTTATTAATGAACCATGAAGTGTAWCATTTTAGATCCTCACTTACTGATTCGAATGTAAAAGGTAACACAGCAAGGGACACTGAAACCTGAAGAAAATCAGAACTATGACAAAACTCATTATTCTTGGTGCTTCCAAGAATGTAAGTAATGTAAATATCCTACAATGCAATGATAGTCATTTCATATAAAATAAATTCAGTGCATGTTTCTGTAATTCAGGTTTGGTCAGGAGGCCTCTACAATACAAACACCACTTAGTATTGGCATGATTTCACTTAAAATGCTCTGATTTAACAACCAGCAGGCATTTTGACTAGAAYGGGTCAAATCCAAGCAGAGTTGTAACCTATCAAAAGCTTTTCTATTACTGCCTAACTTTCAAGGAGCACAAGATAAACTGAACATTAAYAAACCATTGCTTTCATGAGCTATTCCCCACTAATATGCACAGGCCCAAGTATTTAAGAACTATCCTAAATTTTATGCCATGAGAATTTAAACATGTTAGTCCAAKCTAGTATTTCAGTCTCAGCTGGGGAAATCCATGCTCTGAAAAAACAAAAACCCTCTCCATTTTTAAGAAGACTGATATTTTGAAAATAAGGCAGCAGCTCTAAAAAGAGCAATATAAGGTAGAGAGTTGTTTTTCTTTCACTGCTWAGCTTACATATCAATGGGCAAATAATAAGCCAAGGTATAAAACTGCATAATGAATGTATAAAAAATGAGATGAAAAGGAAAGTTAATAAAATACAAGTGAGCAGAAAATTCCAAAATAGAAATAGCAGCAGCTGTATTTGCTAYTTGCAAAGTTAATTCTTTATCAGAGGGTCCTAAAGCATCTTATCTTGGGCCCTTAATTTTGTACCCTTAACTAAGCAAAAAGAACAAAAGACAGTGAAACTTGGGAAGTCCCTTTTGTCGAATTTCCAACATTTGATTCCCTCAAGCGCACGCAAGCTTCACAAATTTAAAAGGGAACAGGAAGCAGACACCAAATTTGGAGTTCACAAAATAACACAAAAGACATTGCAATGCCTAAATTAATCTATTCAGGAAACTTAGAAGATAGACATGTGATTGTGTCAAAGAGGAAAAGCTGATATTTAAGGTGCTGTACACAAAATTCATAAGTTATTAACAGAACATTAAAACCCAAAGGCCTTTTGCATTTATCACAGCAATGAAGAGTTCATACCTGTGGCAAGATAGATGATATGGAAAAGCATGTCCTTGCCCTGCACAACATCCACAACCACATGGGAAAATCGGCTGTTGTCTTCCATGAAGTAAGGAATTGGAATGACTGGTTGAACAACCTCATGCATTAAGAAGAATCTTTGTGCATCTTGAAGATTTCTCTCAGTCAKATTTACATACAAACCCTGGTCCATGGTGCCACACTGTAAACACAGAAAAATAGCATGACTATATGTGCCACCAATAACAAYAGATTTACTCTCTGATTTACAGCAGAAGAAAATAAAAGCAAGAGCATAACTTGTAATGACAATGTGGAATTCAACCTTCAAGTCCCATTTTAGTGCTAACCAGACTGTCCAAGGATTGAGGAAGTTCAGTTTTCCTGAGGCAGTACTGTGAAGGCTCCTTAATTGTAAACAGTATGGAAGAGCACCATACAGACCAGCACAAGTGGATTATAGAAATATTTTGCTATATCCTATGTTTTGCTATATCCAGGGCAGGAAGGAAAAAAACTACCATCTAAAAAACTGAATGACTTTCTGTCTAGTCTTCCTTATAATTTTCACAGACTGCAGTGCTAAAGACACACGTCCTACCACAGTCAGGGGCTGACAAGAATGACAGGTGGAAGTGCCACATGCAGTTCTAGAAGCTTCTTAGGACTCTGTCTTAAAGTAGCAAAAATGGACAGCACAGCATTCTATCAAATATTATCCACAGCAAAGACTTTTTTTGCACTGAAATTGACCATATTTTAAAATGGAAAACTGCATTCTTTACTTACAGGAAAACATCCACTAGCTGCATGGACAAATTTCAAACACAAACAAAGCAAAATAAGCGGGAGTTAATTTTAACATATTTGTGTTCAACTGAGGACACAAAAGAGAAAGCTTCTTAATGCATGTGARTATATAAACATTCACATGTTTACTCAGGCATAATTGCATCAGAGAAGTAAAGCACTACTTTACAACATTTATCAAGTATCTGCGTGATGTGAAAGGCATACCTAAGCCATAATTTTCATTCTGTTTTACTATGYCATAAATCATGCAATGAATTACAGCATGAACAAAATAATAGCGTGACAAACCCTGCCAGTTATTTTTTCATTATTGGTATATTTTCAATCCAAAATTGAGTGATCATTCCAAATCCACAAATGTTAAGAGAAGTCAAATAAATTATTTCATAATGGCAAATCAGATGATGAGGAAAGACAAATTAGCAACTGGCAGRAAACAGTTACTTGCTCTGTATGTCAGATCAGTGGAAAAAAAATCATGCAAAGGAAGAATGCCCCTGRATGTATTAAGCAGGACAAATTCCAGCTGAACACTCATAGTTTACTGAAATGCAAATGGTCCTTGGTCTTATGTTAGACATTGCCCTGTCTAAAGAGAAAAGCAATGATCTCTGGAGAAAACAATGTTCCTCAAAACTTGGACTCTAATAGTATTCTAATAGGGAAAATATTTTATTAATATAATCCAGCCTTGGAAATACAATGTTTGATGTAATATATCTACATAGCAGTATTCTTCCTTCAAATCACATACTTCTCTCTGAGTAGGTGAATACTCAGAGGATAAATCTACACCTGGAACTGCACAAAAAGAATTTCTGATACCCTGTCATAAGGATCTTAAAAAGGAAAGTACTTTCTGGGAAGGAAACCAGTGACTCAGTCAATGAATATATCTCATCTGTGTGAAGTGTGTACTCCAAAGCACCATCAAATCAAGACGAATGGTTACACCAGCTCTAAGGATTAGACCAGCTTCTAGTATACATCACTGCTCCACTTATGGAGCCAGAAATCGAACAGAAGGTTATTCAGGGGAAYAAAATGCAGCATCGGCAAAAGGACAGAAGTTGGACATCACTAAGATACCTAGAGATCAGTTAACATCAAATTAYTTCAATACTGTGTTGTAAAAGGCCACATGACAGCTTTTAACACCAGCTGTGGCCTTCAAAGCTGTTTGTGGCACAGTGAGATATGACACAACTGTTGTCACTGCTTTTGTAAATTGGAGCAGCAGCTGCATTAAAATCAGCCAGACCATCTAAGAAATAAATTTCTTCAACATCTTAGTCTTGACTGGGACTTGGAGATGTGCACTAACAGTACAGTAGAGACTTAAACTGGCTTTACACAGCCATCAGGCTGTCATCTTTCTTTGTAAGTACCATTCAGTATGGGCTGCTCTCACAATAATTAACACCACATTAATGCAGGGTTTGTAGGGAGAGTTTATTAAGTTTTAWCGGATGTGCTTACCTAGTCAGAAAGGTGATAAGATTTTTACATAAAAGCATTTTTTCAGGCTTTCTCCTTCAAAAAGTTAGCCTCTCTTAGACCCTCTTCCTACCACTATTTTGACAATACCAGTATTTCTTCAACAGGTAAAAAGCTGTATGCAAATATAGCCCACTTCTGCAACATGGCTTACTTAAACAGAGCCTTGTCACTCGGCTAATGACAACTTACAACTTAGGAACGGTTACGTGGCTCTAGCCTGTAACCTGGGCCTTATTTTCATTCATTTGCATAGATCAAGAAGTAATTAAAACTACTTACAATCCCCGATGGGTGATTCTTTTTCATGCTAGCAAAGATCTTAYGACTCTTACAAACTAGGGAAGGCTGTTCCAGGAGCAGAAGTGAACTTGTGAAATTGCATTGAGATTAAAGAAGGGTCAAAGGTGTATAAATGTGCATACACTTAAGTACCTTAAGTTGTTGTTGTTAATCACTAAATTAATGTTGCTTTTCCTTCCATCTCCCTTGCAAGAAGCAAACTGATTAAAATTRTCCTAGTAGGAGCGGTGACTATGCAGAGGAAAATAATGCATATGTGCTCAGTGAAATACCCCTTTCTTTTTGTAGAGTTCCTCTGAATGCTTTTACACTGTCAGCCAGCTGCAGATTATTGCACGCTGTGAGGCCAACAAGTTCAAATGAGAGGCACAAAACATCACAAATTCTTTTAATCTCACTCTTCAAGGAGTGTGGACCACCTTGCACATGAAAATATATAAAATTCTGACCACTCCTTCTTTAATACCTCCCTCCCACCTTGTATTTTCTGTCAGACACTGTTCCATTTCTTAGGTCCTAATAGCACAAGTACAATGCAAAAGAGAATAGCAGTTTGAKCGTACCTCAGCCAGGAGTTAATGTCACCTTGACAGATAACCAAAGTGTTTTATTTTGACAGAAGTTTGAAATTAAGCCTTTTTTCTCCTACCCTTCAAAGTACATTGGTTTTTCAACCCAAATTATTTTGTGGAACTATAAAATTAAAATTAAGTATGTTGAAATAAGGGGCTCTCCTAAGCACTTTTTTAGATTTAGTTTTTTTTTAAGGTCTTAGGCTACAACATAGTGCAAAACTGGGTTTATAAATTATGAGCCACACAGTACTTTGAGGAAACCTCACATAAAATATTGTCTTTTTCCCACATATGCATACCTGAAAATTAGGGTTAGGATTGGGATATGGAAGCCAAGCAGAGCGAGAGTTCTCCTGGTATTTGAAGGGTCCATTAAAGGCCTGAGTTATGGCACTCAGATTGAAAACACAAACTGCTGAGGCTGCTATGCTGTTCCTGCAAAAGAAATAAAAATATTAACCTAAGAAGTCATAACATTAAGAATTCAACTTGCTGAAAAATAAATAAAAAGGGCAATAACTCTTCAATCTTTCAAGTAATTAATGAAGCAGATATGATCGGCCAGGAGATGATACCTCAAGATATATGTTAAGCTGATTTAGCATAGTCATTGCATTTAAAATATTTGTCAGCCTTACCAAGAAGCTGGTTTGAGAAAAATCTCAGAACATCCAACTTTCTGCTGCTGCTCTATACCTCCACACATAATCACACGCACTAGRGTCAACTCTTTTCTGGTTACAAAGCTCAGAATGATATTATTCTCAGTGCTCAAGAAAGTTTCTTCCATACAAAAAATGACTGCACAACATAAGTAAGGATTTTCAATGTATAGTATGTGTCTAGACTCTGGAATCCCTGGAAAAGACATATCCACAAAACCCCTGTCTTCCAAGAGATGCTGTGCAGCAGTAAGACTGCAAGTTCCAGAAATCCATCAAGGGAAAACAACTTGGACTGCATACAAAATATCATGTTAAAAAAAATAAATATCAATAAATGGCAGCTGGACAAAGCTTGCAATTTCCTGTRTTTGCCTCGAAAATGTGATATACATGGCAATAAAGTAATTCTGCACAGTGTAAAGATTATAATCTAATAACTATGAAAGCTCATAATATGGAAAGCTGCGTTGTTCTTTTCCTCATTTTGAGATAATGGAATAGATAATGAATGTGTCAATTGCACAGATTTCCTGTTGAAGCTAACACTGCTGGCAATTGATCCACACAGCATTCTTTTTATTTTTCTTCTTTTTTCTTTTTTTTTTTTTTTTTCAAGTTTAGCCTGTAACTTACACATTGAGAAATTTACAATTTCTTAAAGGCTTAAGAAAGCATACTACAGAAACTCCATAATGATGTGAAAAAAAACTGAAAAAGAGTTAGGCTACATGGATTTAACAAAAGGACAAAAGGCCAATTTGCTTTCTTATGCTTATCACTCTTATTTCACAGGAAGCCCAAAATGTGAAGTTCCATGMTTACAGCTTCTGCAGAAAAAATCATCATTGGAGCTGATAAATCCTTGCCTATATCATTAAATGCAGCTCACTAATATAATTAGCTGTACTAATATTTTCTTGAATTTCATGAAGTCATAAGAGGACATCAGGCTCATGTTTATTGATTTTTTTGGATAGTCCGAAAGAAAGAAAATCAGCTTTATCAGGAAGCAGTGGCTATAGTGGACTTAATAGTCAACCACGTATAAAAGGAGCAGGTTTGGCTGTTAGAGAAATGTTTCATTTTTTTTCTCCACATGCACCTTAAAGTATACTAAAAAAAGCATTACGGTATGATAATATCATTGCAATTATAAAGATATTGAGATTGATGAATTATGAATGCCATTTAGTTATATCTGATGGTGTTACAGGAACAGAAAGAACTATGTTGTTCTTTGTCATAGGAGAAAGGTGGATCTTATGATTACACAAACTMTCTGTGAATGGGTAGCCAGCATTGGAAAGTGATCCTAACTCTAAAACATTTCAAAAAAGTCCAAAACATGTAGTTACAACACTTCATGACAGGAATTTAAATAGAGCAATCAACAAACTCTACTCTCAGTGACAAWTAATTCCTCTTTGGAGAGTCCACCTCTGTTGGACAATCAGAATGTTGGGCCATGGGGAAAGAGGAAAGTAGCAAGAGGTTTAAAATACTGTCTACTTTCATGTGGCAAAGGCAGTCTTAACAATAGCAAGTCCATTTTCACAAGAGCCAGGAAGCATCAGGAATATCATTCCCCTTCCATGGCCAAAGCCTCGTAGATTTTCTGGAGGAGAATTCCTCTGCTCAGGCTTGTCATGGCAGCAACATGTCGAGGTTATTTTGATTTCTCATGGAAGATTTTGAACACTTTACGTGGATGCCACCTGACAAATACCTGTCTTTTAGCCTWTGAACCAGCTAGTAAAACAGAACAAAATTAAAATTACTGATCAAAACAACAGCAGATTTTCTTATCCACAGTAATCTCAAAATCTCTACTATTCTCTTTATAAAAACAGTGTTTAGWTTCACTGCATTCCTCCATTGCAGAAATAGGCTGAGCTCATCATCCAATGTCATGAGTTCAGAATTGCCACAGCCTGGTGTGAGCAGCCCATCCCTAATTGTGCTCACAGCCCAAACTGCCATTCCAGGGTGATCCTGAGTCTGGAAGATGCCAAAAAGAGCTCCAATTTGTGCTCACTGTCTAGAATGCGAAGGGATTCTAATTTGTTGGCATTTACTGGTAAACATTTCCACCTGGTTAATGGATATTTCAAAAGGTAGATATCCCAGTGTTCACAGGTCCCTTACCTATGTTTTAGGTGCCCAAGGACCTTTTAAAATTCTAGACAAAACTGACTTACAAAGGAAGACACCACAAGAAAGCAGGAGAATCAAAACTTGAAATCTGAAATTGTTCCAGTGGTCTAAACATTGGGCTGCACAGCCATAACACAGAGGCTGCTCTCGCTGAACAGCATTTGCCCTCCAGTCATCAGGTGTAAAGTAAAAAAGGACATTTCTGAGATAAATGTATATTTTTTTCCTACATCCATCCAATTTACTAATATTAAAAAAAAAATAAGACCAAATTGTACATTTAAAAAAAAATACCTTATTGGCATAACAGATTCACTTAAAATTAGGTTAAATTCTTGGTTTGACCCACCTAAGGACATGCTAGGAACAATTTAAAATAAGTAAAAATACCTTTAGTGCTCTTTTGGATGAGTTCTTTACAACATGATCAAATTCCATCATGTCAAATTCATTATCATGTCACATTACAATTGCAAAATATTTCATAAACACATAATGCAYTTATGCATAACAACAGTTAAAAAAATTCCTTTCTAAGAATAAATGAAGAATATAGCAGAATAGTCTTAAGCACAACTGGCTCCCTGCCATAAAGAAATATTAAGAACTCATCCTTCTTTTATGTTTTCAACAATTCCTGTGGGAAACATTTGTAACTGATACTTGTTCACAGAAAACAGTGGATTGGGCAAAACAGTAGTTTGAGTTTATGAATTTACTTGGCATTCAGAAGAGAGCAGCTCAGAAGTTCTAGGTTTTGCTGTCACAAGCAACAAGGAAATAAAATATATAATTCAGTTTACTTACACATTAGTGGTAAAAATCCCATAGATCAAGTCCAGTTCTGGCAGGAAGAAAGTACTCTGAAGTTCGTTATAGTAAAATGGGATTTCTCCAGGGCGAGAGCAGTTCAGACGAGCTTTCATGAAGGTAGTCCAGGTATCCTCCAGCACAAACTTGCCACCAATATCATTTTTGCACACCCGAGCAGCACGAGAGAAAACTGTTTTCCCACAGTCGTGTTCCACTGCATTTTCCCGGAAGAAGAAGTAGGTAAAGTTGCCAATGTCATAAGATGACACAAAATTTGGTTCTGAAAATAACAGAAGGAAAGGTCATTTATTGCCTCCTTGTGATTTATGCAGTCATACTAACATAGAAGTTGGATTTATCGTCAAGCCTTTTATTTAGATAAACACACTTTTTATTATCCTTTAGGGAATTTGCACTACGACATCTGAACAGGACAACTGATGTYCAGCTGGGATTATGAGACACATGATCAGGATGTGCTGGGTTTGGCTGGGTAGAGTTAATTTTTTTCATCATAGCTAACATGGCACTGTGTTTTGCATTTGTCCTGGAAACAGTTCCAGGATTCATGGATGTTTTTGTTATTGCTGAGCAGCACTTACACAGATCCAAGGCCTTTTCTATTCTTCACACCACCCTGCCAGCAGGTTTTAAACCACCACACAAGGTTCTGCTCTAGGTGTTTATAGAACAAGACTGTGATGGGCAGCCTGGGYCCAGCTCATTGTTTTCCACCATGAAAAGTGTCTCTGGGTTTTCWTTCTTCACATAAGGGCACAGTGAATTCTTACAATGTAATTGCTTTCTTTTTTAACCCTGTTTCTGCTTTGCCACCATGCCATTGCTACAGATTTGCAGGATAACAGGTGGTAATTGATCAGTAAAAATGTGCTCAGAGGCTGCAATGAAAAGAAAAGGGAACTACACAAGAATATTTGATGGCAAGATAACTACATTTCAACCCCATCTCACATAATGCTTTTGAGAGCATTATAGATTTTTTTTTTCTTTCTTTAAAAAAATGTTTGAAAACTGATCAAAAGTAGAGAATACACAAAAAATAATCTGGAAAGCAACAGATGGCAATATTTCTTGAAAGGAAAAAAAAAAAAATAACCGTGGATACCAAAGACAATAAACATCTGGTCCATTTCCTGTAAGGATTACTAGAAGTGAGGAAAGTCCATGACCTTAAAAGAGGTTGACAACCTGACGAATTCTTAAAGGAAAAACAAATTTGATACACAGAATTGTGAAGAAGAGCCCCATTTGTGCAAGGAACCATTTTAGAACACTGATAATCCTGAGAAACAAGGAAACTTTTATTTCTTGTTCCCAAATTATATTCTTAAGTGGGAAAATAAATAAATAAAGCAGTTCTAAAAACATCTATTGTGACAAAACACTCCAAACAAAATTACTTCATRTAGAAAATATATAATAAAATTATTCATATAGAAAAAGGCAGATGTAATTCAATACAACCATTTCACAGGGCATCTCAAAYCTATCAAAACTTCTGAGAGGCACTAAAAAGGCAAGCAAGCTGGCATTGCTCCACAGCAATCCAACCTCTGTCAGAAAACTCTTTTCCAAAGACAGACCAGATCCCAGYTAATGTGTCCTCTTGCACTGCTTCCATCCCTATCTGCTGTGCTGAGAGTCCCCAGGACAGGTTTTTGGCAGCAAATGATTATAAACTGCCTCATATGTATGAAGATGAGCATATCCAATAGAGCTCTGTCTCTTCCCTGTAACTTCCACTATTCTATTAAGTGCTGCCTTGAAAGCAGTYGGGAACACACCACATTTTCCCCACATTCAGAGCTGCACAGGTATTTTACTGGCAGATTGCAATCAAACAATTCTAAGAACTTGTTGGTGCCTTGAACCTTCATAAATTACATAGCCTCAGTGCATTTGTGTCTTTAAGAAAAGGGGGGAAAGCAAAATAGTTTGACTTTTTGATATAAAAAWTTTTTGGGATTATTATGATATTTTTGATATAATTAGAAATAAAATAGGGCTGACAATATACAAAGAACTAAACTATCAGTAAGGTTAACTTTACTAGAACTTTAAATCTTCATTCCATATCTGTGTAAAACTTTGATTACAATAGGGATTTTTTCCAAAGGCTCCAAAAACCTACCGTGCAAATATTCAAAATCAATTTGATCCACCCACAAAAAAACATTCTGTACAAGCATTAAACAAGGAAGCCCTGCYTTGCAATCAGGCCTGAAGATACTTCTCACTGGAGACACACTGGTATAAAAAGGTCCCTACATTGGCACCACAGGATTTCACTGCAGAGTGAAAAAAAACACTACTGGAAGCACTCAGTGCAAGGAATGATGAATTRCAAAAATAAAACAAACCTCACAAACTATAGGAGGAAAAATATAATATGAAATGCATTCAGAATGTATTCAGGGTTCTTGAAAATCCATGTCAGCCTTTCAAAAGACAGTATTTTAAACCTGTGCTGATAATCATAATACATGTACAAAAAATACCTAATACTAATATTTCATGGATCCAAAACTGAGAAACAATATATAAATCTACAAACACCTATGCTTATACTTTAGTGATTATGAACTGATGAAAATGTGACCTGCTGTTGAAACTTGTTAAAACTGCTTCCATTCACATTAAATGTAATAATTTCAGAGTTACCTTGGGGAATTCAGTAGATATGGAAGGATTATCATGTCAGACTTTATTTATTTTATTTTCTCTTTGGGAAAAATGAAAAGGGTCACTTCAAAACTTCAAAGGAAAAAGGAGCTTCCCAGCTAGGAAAGATCTGTTCTTAGTGTGCAAGTATTTGCTGTGAACTGCTATTTGTTGACATGGAGGACTTACATTCATAAAAATGAAAGTTTTTAATGCAGCAAATGAAGTGAATCTCTTGTTTCATGCTGACTTTGCAAATAGTTCTGGAAGGGCGAACACACTTCATTTCTGATTTATCAGATCAACACAACAAGTGCAAGTATTCCGGTGTGTGACAGAACACAGTTMGTATGAGAATGTCAACCTGTAATAATGTCACGAGTATTGTATACGACCTTTATAGGRTTTTTTATATACTCAATTTATGGACGTGTCAGGCTGACTAGACTTTCCCAAATTAAATGGAGCCAGTGGAATCAGGAAAGCAAGAAAATGACTTTGTTGATGTGACCCAAAAAACATCTGCARCGCACAGCACGGAGCAGGGCCACACAGAGGCACGAGCCCAGGCACTGAAAGCACTGGGTGGCTAGTTAGTGCTGCCCCTGGGCAAGCACATTACTCTGCTATTTCTCAAGTTTGCTTACTCATTACTACAATTTCCTTCATAAAGCAGTGTGATGCCCAACAAGGATGTTTCCCCTCAGACTCTTCTCAGTTATTGCAAAGAAGGCAGCTCAACCATACGAAGCCAAGATAAGGCTTCAATGGGAAATAATATGATTGTTTCTCTCAAGGATGGAGTCAAATTTTCTACGTTTTCTGGGGAGCACACTCTCTATTCTTAATATGAAAACACTTCCTAGGAAGATGCAATGATTCCCTTCAGATTATTTTTCCTTTCCACCTGCCAAAGGTGTCATGAATAAGTTTATTTCCTGGGCTTTTTTTATTCAGTTGTGTAGRTGCAATCTGAGTGGGTAAAAACATGAGTGGAACTGCACAGGAATTTTTCTGTGTATAGGAATTGGAAAAAAAAACCTAAAATGCCTCTGTGAGAACCTCTGAGGTAGTCCTGGCCTCTTCTCACTGTCTGAGCTTAGAAGCAAGTTTGCTTGTGCTCCTTAATCCATATAACTTCACATCTTCTGAAGCACACTTCATCGCCTAATTTACATAATTAGTGGATGCTACTGTTTCCAGAGTGAAACAAATGTCAGGAAATTATATAACTTCCTTTAAAAARGCAACAGCAATTAACCTCAAGGATTAAAAAATCCAAAGCCTACTCTAAGCAAATAGGAGCTGTGATTTCAACTGTCCCTGTGAGATGTGACCACTCACATCTGAAGTGCAAGGCAYTCCAAGTCAAAAGTGAAATTAAAGAATTAACAGAAATGTTGAAAGAAAGTTAAWATATTAAGCTTTTCTGATCTAGACACAGATCAGATTTTATTTGTATATATACACATAAAATACGAAACACACACAAAGATTCATGAATACATAATATACTCAAAATGTTAGGAGTCCAGATACTGCTCTAATGTTGAATGACATCTACCTGGAAGTTGTCCACTCACCTCACTAGATCAATGAATCACACCACACTCTTGATCTCTAAATATCCATTTCTTCCAAATATTCATATTCAGCCAAATGCTTACTATCATTAAATTCTAGAAAGATGCATTTGAGTTTTTTTAAAAAAACTTCACATTTCAGCTAAAAATGCTCTCCAAAAGGGACACTTAAAGTAATGGAAAGCATTTAAGCTTCAGATGTGCCGTCTACACTATTTTCTTTCATCTTATTAACATAATCAATGAAGTCCAGTTGCAATTGCATGTCGCCATCTCTGTATATTCATTAAGAATATTCATTCAGTTGTGGCCCTTTGCAGCTGTTGGAAAAATGTACAGACCTTGMATTAGGCTGATCATGCATCACTGCTCATGAAGGTTTAAGGACAAATTTTAATCACAGAGCAAAATTTTCCTGCAGAATCATATATCTCAAAAGTAATACATAACTTGTGGTCATCACAGCCATATCCACCCTCAGGAGCTGAGCTGTAAAATGTTAAATCCTGTATGAAACTGGAGGAAATGGTTTATTAACTGCTATTTTTTCCTCTGTGTTTCACAATTACCTAGGATGTGTGATAAAAATGCTAATGTGTCATAGAGAAGCTKGCTACCAATCTATTTTGACTATTTCCTTAGCAATGCTTTAGCTCTCCATGASTTCTTTTACATTCTTTTCCTTTTGCTAAATTGAAAATTTTATAGGTATGGAAGAGCAAGGACAGCAAAATACACTAAAACTTTGTATCCCAGGCATTTTTTTCTAATCTTCTCTTATATTGCTGATAGATTTTATAATACAATTCAGAATAATAATAAAAGAGGATGCACTCATTACATTTTTACTGATGTACTCTAATAAATTCTGAAATGCAATTATTTCTTTTCTGAAAAACTGTTTTCAAACATGGTAWTACAAAATTCCTTGTTTTATTTTCTGTTGTCTATTTCAAATAAATCTTCTTAATTTTCAAGGTAAAGTGTTCATGCATGGCATAATAGTTTGCAATTT